ATAATCGAGGATAGAAGTACTAAAACGAGAAATGGTGAGAAACCCACCCGGACAAAAATCACCCATTTTTGAATGAAGTTGATGGATGGGTATGTATTTGTTGAAGGGTAGTGTTTGGATAATGCAAATATCACAGGAGTTTGTATGTCCATTTATAGGAAATAAGTTGATGGGAAAAGTTGATAGGTATGAATATTTATAGGGAATAATCTTATGTTGGAACTTATAATAACCTTTTAAATATATTTAAGAACTTTGAACACGTTACAATATTTAAAATTCGTAAGGTGAAGGAATGAAATTTTAATACACTTAGAAAATGAGGTTGTTAAGCCTTCAATCCAATCTATTTGATAGTTCTATATCGTTGAATCATGACCCACAAAAAGTTAAAAGTGAAACTTAATTAATAAGAAAAGAATGTTTATGCATGCTAAATATTTATATCTCTTTCTTATCTTAAATTAACTTTTGTTCGAGTACGAATAATTTGTTGTTCCTTTGTTTTGAAGCACTATTCTCTCCTTAAAATTTATTTAATATTCTATTAAGTTCGATAATGTCATAATCGTCAATCAAGACATTATCTATTTGTCTCATAATGCAGTCTTCATCGTACGAGGGATTGTATGTGTCTCTGCCAACTATTATATTTACTTGTGTGAACCATTATTCTTATTAAACAAGTTTACGATTAAGAGACACTTGTAGATCTCCTCATCGTTTCTATGCACAATGATCTTATAGCATCATAAAACTTATGCATATAAGGCATGATCTTACCATACCAACTAAAAAAAATTGCAAAACCTTTGTCAATTGAAACAAATTCATTATTAAAGGTTAATTTTAAGCTCGAATAGTAATCAAAAGGGAGTGACCTTACATCATAGTCAGTTACTAAAAGAACTATCGAACACTCAACAATTGATATAAGTTCACTAATAAAGATTAGGTGAAAAATCCTTAACCATTCCCACGTACCACCATAAATCATATATATTATCGGTAGTCCATGGTAAATTGCTCAAGTTCATAATTTGCCTAATACCACATGGTATTTGGTAAATCATTCAAATCGGGCATACACATGCTTTAATCATCCATCATACTTTCAAGAGTTTATCACTTTAAGGACCCAAGCCTGCTACTTGCTATGCTCTGACTTGCTCAGCCTCGGCCGGATTCGTCTGCCGACCTAAACCACTCGCGAGACCAGACTCAATACAACATGACTTATCTGGGCCAGCCACATGTTATGTAGAGGCCACAGGTATGCTTCCATGAAGCGCACTTGAGACGTGTCACGATCTTACTTGTCCAAGATGTGTTACCTATGGTCGCATGTTAGATGTCCTGGTTGTGCTTGTTAAGGATGTGTTGTTCATGGCTGCATGTCTGTTCCAAACCCGTTTTTACTTGCTTTTATTTTAGATAGACCTATACTAGTTCTTGTTGTGTCAATACGGGGTATATGAACAATGATCAAAATCATGTCTATACGCACTAGGGCTAAAATGTCCCAAAATATATTATAGGGGATGTGACTAGTTGTTAATTCTTCATACCCGGATTATATGCTATCAAAGCTGCCATTATTATTGTTTGCTCGATTTTAGCTTATAACAACATCTTATAATTAAATTTTATTTTGTATTGAATTTTAGTCGTGGTGTTTTCGTTTCGATTTAAGTTGTATCATATTTTAAACTTTTATTTTGATTTTTGTTTTAGTCATAGTCCGAGTTTCGAAACCTAAAAAGTTAGGTCATGACAGATTCCCACTTCCGTCACCTGTATCGCGAGTTTCACCGATTTATTTCCAAATTCTAATTATTTTTTTTATTATTTTCTATTTTATTTGGATTTTCATAACTTTGTTTAAGTGACTCTCAATCAACATGGTTCCTTCACAAAGTTACATAGTTCTAATCCATCTTATAAATATTTTTTCTATTAAGTTAAATCAATAACAAGAAACATTCAGTCTAAAATATAAAACTTACAAATCTTTCAATTTCTTGATGATCGTCGGAACTCCACTTTTAGATTCGATTCAACTTGAGATTTCTCCGGGGAACTTGTGTGAAATTCCTTTAAGAACAACAATCCAAAAATTCAGAACTTAATATCAAGAAATCTTCTTGGATCGGAAAGAAAACCAAAATTAAGTATCCAAAATCCATACCTTATGTTCTTCCTCGATCCTTCATGGATTTGAATGATTCAAAAGCCTAAAACGATTCTCCCAAGACCATGTGAAGGAGCTCTATCATGAACTCACCTTTTTTTAGCTTTTTTTTTTCCTTCTTTATTACTATTCTATTTAGAAATAATCCAGATCCCTACAATACGCGAAAATTGAAGTGCTATTATAGAGAATTCTCAAATACCATTGGAGAAACACAAAAGCGAAGGAAATTGATTATTAAAATGGTAGAATTCAAGAGATATGAATACTTCTACCTTATTGGCTTACAATAACACTTAAAAGAAAACCAATACATATCAATACATCAACATTTTTGGATAGTTTTCTTTTCTAACCAATAGTTGGAATTTCAACAATTATTCCCTTTATATTAACTAACCTTCTAACTCGATCGCACCTAAGATCTTCAGTCATTGCACTCCCGGCTAAGATAGTCTCAACACATTCTACATTGGAATTGTGTTTCCTGATGATATACTCTGCAATCGTTGATTCAATCCCAACAAGTTCTGGCCATCTATTCTTTCATGATAAACCAAACCAAATAATCAAATCAAGGATCATACAAGTAACTTAATTTTCAAAATCAAATCGAAACTATACGACTTCGTGAAGTCTAGTAAGGGAAACATACCGGGAGGACAAAAATCAGCCAATTTTGGATGAGTTGATGGATGGGTTTTTGGATCTCTATGTATTGGTTGAAGGGTAGTGTTTGGATAATGCAAATATCAAAGGGTTGTGTATGAACATTTGTAGGGAATAATCTTATGGGTGGCTACCCAAATTGGCAAGGAACTAAGGTCAGGGCGCCCCAAATTTGGACCTTATAATAAACTTAATATATAATTAGGTCTAAAGTTTTGACCACGTTATGTTATTGCAAAAATCAGACATGTGGGCATGAGGTGTTAACACGCGTCTTTTATGGAAAAGTTTTCACATCCTTACAATCCACTTCCTTCGAAACTTAGCGTCCTCGCTTGGACTCGTTCCTCTCTCTAATCGATGTGGGATCTCACAATCCACCTCAGGCTTAGCACACTTACTGGCACTCGTTCTTCTCTCCAATTGATGTGGGATCTCATAATCCACCCCCATTCGAGATCCAGCGTTCTCACTAGCACACCGCCCGGTATCCACCCCTCTTCGTGTCTCAGCATCCTGCTAGCACACCGCTTGGTGTCTAGCTCTAATATCATTTGTAATGGTCCAAGTCCACCGCTATTAGATATGGTTCTTTTTGGGCTTTCCCTTGAACGAATTACCCTCAAAGTTTTCAAGATGCTTATGTTAGGGAGAAGGGAGAAGTTTTCACACCCTTATAAAAAAATGTTTCGTTCTTCTCTCCAACCGACATAAGATCTCGCATGTTACATTTGGGTCAGTACTTTTGTAATTCTGTATACACATTTAATGTTGCAAAACTATTGGATATATTTCGAAAAATTTCTCACAAAAATGATTTTGAAAAATAAAAATATATCATTCTCTAATAAAATTATGAATTTTATTAGAATCTTAATGGATAACTCATATTTAAAAAATACTATTTGATCAAACATTTATATTTTTAACTATTAAATAGGAGGCTTTTTATTTTCTATGTTATCCTATTTCTATATCAAACGTGCTTTTCTAGGACTCCATTTTCAAACATTTCACATTCATTTAATTACTAATACAAGTTGCCAATATAATATTCAATTTTATTGATTAATTAAAAGTCTCCAAGATCCAAATTAGATAATGAATATCAATATGAATGATTTGAATATAAAATATGATTGGCTTCTAAATATTTATCTCTTTCTTATCTCAACTTTTCTTCACAAGTCAATAATTTGTTATGAGATTTTGTCTTCACCACTACCCACTCCTTAAAACTCATTTAATATTCTATTAGGTCTCGTAATATCGTTATCGTCAAAGGAGGAATCGACTATCGAACGTGTGAACTACTGCTCACAGTTTTATAGATTATTTCTCTTATTTAAATAAACTTCACGATTAAGACGTTGTAGATCTTGTAATTATCCCTACACATAATATCCTTAAGACACCATGAGACTTTTGCTTATCATGACACGATTTTATCCATACCAACTCATAACTATTACAAATTCGGAATTTAATCAATAAAAAAAATCGCTATTAAATGTTAACTCTGGATTCTCTAACAATCCCATTTATATAGTCATGAAAGTAATATTATACAAATATAAGTTCACAACTAATTAAAATTTGGAACTTAATTTCCATATATATATTGAAAAATTAACTTCCAAATAGTTAAAAAATATTTTTAAGAGTGGTTTGAGAATAAATAATATAACCGTCCAAGTCTATCTCTAGTAGATTTATCTATTTTAGTCGGTTACGTATTGCTGATAGTCTCACAGTTTTAGAGCGCATCTACTAGGGAGAGATTTTCACATCTTTATAAGACCCTTCTCCACCCGAAGTAGAATCTCACAATCCACCCCCTTAGAACCCAGCGTTCTTGCTAGCACACCACCCGATTTTTTACTCTAATATTATTTGTAATAGCTCAAGTCCACTCGTAATAGATATTGTCCACTCCAACTTGTTATGTATCACCATTAACCTCACAATTTTAAATCACGTTTACCGTAAACTTTTGTCAATTATTTTTATGCGGAGGAAGATGTAAATTTTCTATAAATTTTTTTATTTTTTTATATTTCTATTTAACAAATATAAACCATCCTAATAAATCTAATAATTCTTGAGAAGTCTAATAATTCTTGAGAAGGAAGATTCACCATAATCTCTAAAGAAAAAAAAAACATAAATTTCTCAAATACATTTTGAAATGCAAATGCGAAGGGAATTGATTATTGAAATGGTAGAATTCAATAGATATGAATACTTCTACCCTTATTGGCTTACAACAACACTTTAGAAAACCATTGTCAATACATCAACATTTTTGGATGGTTTTTTCTAACCAATCATTGGAACTTCAACAATTATTCCCTTTATATTAACAAACATCCTAACCCGATCGCACCTAATATCTTTAGTCACTCCACTTCCAGCTAAGATAGTATCAACACGTTCCACACTGAAGTTGTCTTTCCTGATAATATACTCTGCAATCGTCGATTCAATTCCAACAAGTTCTGGCCACATATTCTTTCCTGATAAGCCAAACCAAATAATCAAATCAATGATCATACAATCAACTTAATTTTCAAAACCAAATCGAAACTAGACGAGCTCAAATTTAAGTATGAAAACTAGAAAGGAAACATACCAGAAGGACAAAGATCAGCCATTTTTGGACGAAGTTGATGAATGGGTTCTTGGATCTCTATGTATTTGTTGAAGGGTAGTGTTTGGATAATGCAAATATCAAAGGGTTATGTATGAATATTTATAGGGAATAATCTGATGGGTGGCTACCCAAATTGGCAAGGAACTAAAGTCGGGCCGCCACAAATTTGGACCGTATACAATTAGGTCTAAAGTTTGACCACGTTATGTTATTGCATAAGACATGTGGGAGAGAAGGAGGATGCAAAGATGAGTTCATCTCTTAAGACGATAAGAATGATTTTTCAATGCAATTGAAAAATGAGGCTGCCAACCCTTTGAATGATTCAATAATGAGGAAAAAAAGGTGCAAACTCTTCGATAATGGTGAAAAAGAAGATATATTAGAAAAGTTAAAGTTCTATTAAGGAGCGTTATCAAATACAGAATACTGGGTGAAACACAAATGCAAAGAGAATTCAAGATGAGTTAATACTTCTGCCTTTATTGGGTTCCTAGCATATACTTGTGTCGACACTACACTTTAGTCAATTTATCATCTAGGCCACCTTCATGTGTCAAAACTGCACGGACACTTCTCTAGTCTTGTTGCAGTTTTGTTCTCTATGTCACTCCCTTCCAGCCTAATGCTCTCTTCTTGTGCAGATGTTGGTCTCAATAACTCTTGTGAAGCCATCCGCTTTAGGCACGAGGTGATGACTCAGTAATATATGTGTGCTCACTTCTCGAAGTACTTCTACAAGGTAAGCAACCCATTTTCTCGTGCTTTCCCTGCTTAATTCAATTGCTCTCTCATAGCGATGTCGTCCACCCATATGGACTTGCAATTTGGAACTTGGCTAACACGTCTTATCTCACACTGACTTCTTTGGTTGCAACTATTGACACTATTTCTCTGATGCGAATAACTCTTTTGTAGGCCGGTACCTAGTACACCTTTTGATTATCTGTTTCCCAATTTGAAACCACAAGCTTTTGGCAAATGAGCTTGGTTTGGGCTCTTGACGAGTAAGGGTCCTCTTCAAGGAGTTTGGCTTCAACCCTCGTTTTTTTTTTTTTTTTTATTGTAATTGAATTTTATATTGTAATTGAATTTTATATTGTATTTAATTTTATTGTTCTTTGTCATTATTTAGATTTAAATTATATGAGATTTTCTTCTTTGATTCCCACCCCATCACTGGTGTCACAAGTTTCACCCATTTATTTCCAAATTCTTATAGTTTTTTACTCTTTTTCATTTTCTTTGAATTTTCATAATTTTCTACTAAGTAACTCGAATAAACTTAGTTCTTTCATGAAAGTTGAGGAATCAACTTGGTTTTTTCGCCAAAGATGTGTAATCAACTTAGTAAGAAATATTCAAATTTTAAGTGGGTCAAACTCAACTTTGTGGCTCCATTCAACTTTGAGATTGCTTCATGGAACTTATGTGAAATTCCTCTCCGAACAACAAACCAAAAATTCAACCTAGTTTCAAGAAATCTTTTTGGATCTTAGGAAAAACCAAAATTAAGAACCCAAAATTTATATATTATGTTCTTCCTCCATTTTTGGCATATTTGAGTGATTCAAAAGTCTATAATTCCAAGACAATAAAAACCTCCAACAAAATTTTAACTCCTAACCACCTTTTGGAACAAATTTGAGTTTCTCTCCGCTTCTCTATCAAAACCATAAACTCTTCATTTTTAATGGCAAGGGAGTAAAAATGAACCTTTGGTCTCTTGGTTACCTCTTTACTTCAAATTTTTCTTGAGTTTCTGAAATTTTTGTCAATATTTTTTTTTCTACCTCAATATTCGATATCTAAGACACAATAAAATTTTGGAAATTCGAACTTAAAAGAAATATATGATATTTAATTTCTTTGTGGGGCTCGAGTGTTATAGAGAAAAGGCGGGAGTGAGAGTTAGAGAGAGAGAGAAAAAGAAAAAGAGAGTTTGTGGGAGAGAAAAAAAAAAAAAAGGACGAACTTGAAGTGCCATTAAAGAGAACTCTCAAATACCATGGAGAAACACAAAAGAAAGGGAATTGATCATTGAAATGGTAGAATTCAAGAGATATGAATACTTCTACCCTTATTGCTTACAATAACACTTAAAAGAAAACCAATACATATCAATACATCAATATTTTTTTTTATAGTTTTTTTCTACCCAATGGTTGGAATTTGAACGATTATTCCCTTTATATTAACAAATATCCTAACCCGATCGCACCTAAGATCTTCAGTCACTGCACTTCCAGCTAAGATAGTCTCGACACGTTCCACATTGGAATTGTCTTTCTTGATGATATGCTCTGCAATCGTTGATTTAATCCCAACAAGTTCTGGCCACCTATTCTTTCCTGTTAATACCAAATTAAATAATGAAATCAACTATCATACAAGCAACTTAATTTTTAAAATCAAATCGAAACATTACGACATCGTGCAGTCTAGTAAGGTAAACATACCAGGAGGACAAAAATCAGCCATTTTTGGAAGAAGTTGATGGAGGGATTCTTGGATATCTATGTATTGGTTGAAGGGTAGTGTTTGGATAATGCAAATATCAAAGGGTTATGTATGAATATTTATAGGGAATGATCTGATGGATGGATTCCCAAGTTGGGAAGGAACTAAGGGCAGGCCGCCCCAACTTTTGGACCATATAATAAACTTAATATATAATTAGCTCTAAAGTTTGACCACGTTATCTTATTGCTAAAGACATGTGGGAGAGGAGGAGGATGCGATAAGAATGAATTTTTAAGTGAGGCTGCCATGCCTTAGTTGTATTTGGCATTTAATGCAATTTGTACTTGTGGAGGAAAAATTTATTCAAGTTGTGCCGAAGTACTTAATCATTTTATAACGTTGAATTATTGTTTATCTAACGCGATAAGACTATCAATTATCTGATGGAAGGATGACTACTCGCACAATTCATACACTTGATCGAGATGAAGAACATAAAGAATAAAAGAGAGAAAATGTAAAGAGAAATATACTTGGTACCATCGAGATGGTAAACTCCACCGCAGCTATGAGCTTATTTGGTCAATCAAATTATATTTTATTTGTAAAAGAGGTGGCTTTTATTCTCTAAGTTTATCTCTAACCTTTTTTTTAGTTTTAAATGAAGGTTGCCAATATAATATTCCATTTCATAAAAGAGCCTCCAAGATCCAAACTTGCTATAAATATCACTACCCAATTATCAAACCATCTCATTCAACTTTGAGCAAAAGTAAAAGGGATTGAAGAAGATGGATGAAGAAATCACTCTTCCATCAGGTTTGTAGAACTCCTTCTCACTCGAGCGTTTCATTAACTCTTTTCCGTCCCTCTTTTCTCACACGATTCAATTACTTAGGTAAATCCTCGTGGCCGGAACTCGTATTCATCGAATCTTCCATTGCAGTACATCTTATAAAGAAAGATAATCCTGATGTAAAGACAATCGTGCTATTAGCTGGAACTGGAGGGACTAAAGATTTTAGACACGATCGAGTTCGAGTTTTTGTTAATATCAACGATAAAGTCGTTGAAGTTCCTCAAGTTGGTTGAAATAATTTAAATATCTATGTTTGAAACAATTAAAACGGTGATTAAATAAGGTAGAATATGTCATAATATTTGAATTATATGTATGGTTTATTTGAATGTTTGTGTGGCATTTAAATATTTGTATGCTCATGGAAGCAACTGTTCTTTAATGGCTTCAAGCTTTAATTTTAACGTGAATAATTCCAATTCATCTAGTACTCTATTACCAAAGGTAATGTTATCCTCGTCATTAAAAATAAATTATTTATTAGACTTTATTGTGTTATTATCAGTCAAAGAAGGAGCGATCTTTGTGCCTGCTACTACTGTATATTTTTGTTTGGATACTTGTCCTTTAAATACGCTCATGATTAAGAAATAGTTGGAGATATCTTAATTGTCCTCACACACACCATTCTTATGATACCATAAAACTTATGCATATCAAGGGCACGACTCTATCCATACTAACTCATAATGATAAAAAAAAACAAATACAGACTCTTATCAATCGAGACGAGTTCATTATTAAAGATGAATTGACAATCTTTTAATAGTTCCCATATTGTATAGCTTTGATGTCGAAAGTTTAAACCTCTACTTCAATCGAGTGAATTCATCTTTATTCGACCCTAAAAAAATAATGAGAAAAAAAGGTGCAAACTCTTCGATAATCGTGAAGATCAAGGGGATATAATTAAAAAACTGAAGTGCCATTTGAATTGACCATTGAAGTGGTAGAATTCAAGATATGTTAATCCTTCTACTTTTATTGGGTTACAATAATACTTTAGAAAACTAAAGTGAATACACAACAATGATCAACTCGATTTATCGGATCTGCCCTTCTCTCGGATTCAGTCTGAGACTCACCTAATAAACCATGACAAAACTAGTAACGTCATCTTTGAGTCCGAGACTCACCTAATAAACCATGACAAAACTAATAACGTCATCTTTTTGCTTGAGCTAGGGGAGAGCACCCCGAACATGGCCACTTTGACCTCAACTATCGTATTCTCTAAACTGCACAAATATTTATATCGTGACATTTCCTAGTTATGTTCATATCAGTTTACATTAACAAGGTGGGTTGTGTATTCCTACATTTCCTCATCATGACCCTAACTCTTTTCATAAACAAGGTCTTAAAATGTATAACACATCCCCATTTGCCACTACACTTCAACTAATTTCTTATCTAGACTACCTTCATGTGGCAAACACTTCAACTAATTTCTTATCTAGACTACCTTCACGTGGCAAACACTACACTGACACTTCTCTAGTCTTAGTACAGTTTCATTCTATATGTCACTCATGTCCAGCCGGTTGCTCTATTCTCAAGCGGATGCTAGTCTCGACAACTCTTATGAAGTCATCCACTTTATGCATGAGATGATGGCTCATATAATACATGTGTGTTCACTACCTGAAGCACTTCTACAAGGTAAGTAACCCATTTCTCGAGCTTTCCCTACTCAATTCAATTGCTCTCTCACAACGACGTCCACTCATATGGACTTGCAATTTGACACGAATGCCTTAAGGAAATGATCTTCCTACTCTGCCAAATTAAATCCATGTGATGGAGGCTGATTGAGAGTTTCCTTGGAGAGGGAACTTAAGGGTTTGAGGAATTTTTTCCTTGATTGTTACAGCATCCATAGATCCTCGACTGGATAGAGTTTTGCTGATGCCAAATAATGACACGTCAACCCTTATCCACTGGCATCACTTTTTAAGTTAATAATTTATAGGGTATGCAAATCGCTATTTTAACTTCAAACGTTTTCTTCTAAAATTTGTCTAAATTATTTCATAAAATATATAATTTTTTTCATTCTAAACATCATTCAATTTGTGCTTTTAACTCATAAATAAATTATTAGAATACATATTACTAATATGTGAGATTCTGACAAAAAAAAATCTTTATAAAAGGTAGAAACTTCTCCTTAGCTGAAGCTTTTTAAAAACTTGAGGAGGAAGCTCGAAAAGAAATGCCTAAAGAGAACAATATTTGCTAGCGATGAGCTTGGGCTGTTACGAATGATGTCAGAGCTAGACACTGGGCGATATGCCAACAAGAAGTGGAAGGTGGTGGGCACGAGATGGTGTGCACTGGGCGATGTGCCAACGAGGAGGTTCAGTCCCGAAAGGGGTGGACATGAGGCAGTGTGCTAACAAGGATGTTGGGCCCTGAAGGATGTGGATTGGGGGTCTCACATCGATTGGAGGAGGGAACAAGTGCCAGCGATAACGCTGAACTTCGGAGAGGGTGAATTCTAAGATCCCACATCCGTTGAGGTGGAGAGCACATTCTTTATAAGATTTTTTTTTTTTCAAATTACATAGAAATATTTCAAATCCAATATTCACCTTCAAGAATATGGATATTTTTAGTAGAAAAATAATATCTTATGTGTACATATTTGAAGTATTTTAATTCGACCTCTATTAAATTTTGTGTGAAAATTTCTTCATATATGAAATTGTAATATAGATAACTGTAACGCTTCTAACTTTCTTATCTAGATCAGAGATGTCATTACCTGCATGTCTGTATGAGTATTATTAAATAATTAATAAAGTCTTTCAAATGAAGTTATAGATTTAAATGTTCAACTTTAAAGATAAGAAATAAAAATCAACACAAAACAAATACCATAACATAAACTTTAGCATGAAAATAAAAGCCTTAAACTACTTATATGAAACTAATCGAGGAAAACCAGGCATACTTTGTCCTCACTTAGTATGTCATGCAGAGCATAACATTCTTAACCATGATGTATGTAAGAGTCACGGCATATGCGTCATCATACGTCATACAATTCTTAAACCAACTAATAATAGAGCCGCTTAGTTGTTTGATCTTGACCGAAGTCCCTAAATATTGTAAAACTTGTCTAAAACGGTTGAACAACTCAGTTTACAAACATATATGGGCAAACTCTAATTTTAATGCAATGACTTATCAATATCAGTTTAATGTGTATTGATATATTTGATATTATTTTATACCTCTAATAAATATAGAGTATAAGGTCTAGTTTTAGAGAAGTCACTAAATAGCCTCCTAACTTGGGGAGAAGGGGTGCCTTCTCACAAAAGAGGTTGCAATAACCAGACCCAAACGGCTGTTTACCAAAAATACAGGTCTCCGCAAGGTCCTGAGCTTCTAACTTCTTACAAAAAAAAAAACAAAACTAAAAAATAATAATATTTGTTATCGATATAGGGTGTTAGTGCTGTTGCATGATATTTTGGTGTTGGCAAACGGGGATTTTCAGTTTTTAAATTGAACGATGATATTCAAACATTAAATGGATACTATTCTGGATGTACAAATTTTTCTTAAGCTTTTCAAACCATTTTGTATGCGTTTTTCTCGTTCTCAATTAATTTTGAGATGATAATCTGTTAGATACTCATATAGTTGAGAGTAAGTTAGAGAAACCCACCTTAATTTATTTTATTATAAGCGTGGTGTTACATATAGTCAAAAAGTGCTTAGCCGATTCAAGGGATCGAATCCACCTTTCCACAATGATCAACAAAGATTCGGACTCGTTTGAACATAAAGTCGGCCGATGCGAAGTTTTGGCTTGGTGGCATTAGAATTACAACAAAGAAGGATTCTCTTGCTGAATTTGTTAGGATCGATACCCGTTGTTTGCTCTAATACCAGTTGTTGAGATCGCACAACAACGCACATGCTCGATCTAGATGAACACAAAGAAAAGGATAGAGAAAATTGCAAGGAGAACTCTGGCTAAAAGAATTTTTTTTATTGATGACTTCAGGAGAAAAGAGTACAAACAATAGAAAGTACACTTCCAAAGCTCTACCCAACCATATATATATGGTAGTACTATATATATATAGATTTAACAGATTTAGCTATTATAGTTATTTACCATATATAGCTTTATCGGATATAGTTTTACCATGTATATAGCTTTACTATATATAACTTTACTATATATAGCTTTACCAAATATAGCTTTACCGGATATAATGTTGACCAAGCTATAAATAAGTATCAGGTTACATGGCGTAACAGAATTATCTTCACAGCTTGCTCCCTATCCATCCCCACTAACTCTGGCCAACGCCACTTTTCTTCGTTCAACATAACTTCACCAATATAAACTATACTTATTAGATCCATAAAATGGTATCAATATGATATCAAAATGATATCAATACATCATTGTAATAAGTATATATAGGCTTATTTTATTGTCAAGAGAACACATCTTAATTTCGAATTTCAACCTAAAGAATAAAATAAAATAAAATTTAAATGTCGAACATATTCGAGACTTATTGTAAAGTTATAATATTTTTATCTATATAAAAATTTCAAATATGATAAAGTATAACAGAAACTTTAAAAAGAGAATGCATTATTTATTCTCGAAAGCGTTATATTTTTGTTTGATTTTATTACGAATTAAAAATAATGCACTACAAATCATACCTTTTCAAAAACGTGTTTGACAAGTCTCTTAGAATATTTTCCTAGATATGAAACTTCTTATTTGTCCATACTTAAAACTTCCTCTCCAAGATATTTCTACCACAAATATTTTCTAGTTGTTTATACTAAATAATATATTTAAATATAATATTTTAATATATACGTGAATCTCATTTAAATTTTAAATATATAATATACATTAATTATTTTAATATTTAATATCTTTAATACATTAAATATTAATTTCCAACCCTTCAAAAATATATATATATATATATTCCTAACCAACTCCATTATTTCTCGATCAATTGATCTCTATGTTACAATAGAGTTACTTTATGGCTAATTTTTTTGTTGGCCGATTACAGCAAGTTTTCTGATTTAACTCGAAGGAAGGATCGGTATTACGAAAATGGCCATTCTAGTAAGTCATGTTCTTCGATTCCTTTTCGTTAATTGTGTTAATTTTTGTAGTAATTGTTTAAATCCGTGTCATACTGTATTAGAATGTAATAAATTGTTATAAAAAATAGACAAATCAAGGCAAGTCGAAAAAAATAAGGAATTAAACACTTAATTCTTCCCACTTATTCGCCCAAATTTAATAATCGTTCTTCTAGTTGGTGATAGGAAAATATGAATTATCATAAAAGATTACATATCAAGTTATCTATAGGAATATCTTAGTTTTTTGTTGTGATAGTTCTTTCAATTTTAACGATAGAAAAACAAACGTCAAAAT